TAATTTGGGATTTGGGATTTGGAATTTCGGCATTTGGGATTTCGGCATTTGGATTTTGAATTTGGGTGGCAGGTATAGCTACTACCTGAAATCAAGACCGTAGTTAAAACATATGTCCCTGCTGACTTACTTGAAGCCTTAACAAAAGTTAAACTATATGAGTCCAGAAAAATGAAAATGAAAAAGTTTCAAAAGAAATACTGACAATATGAAAGTTTCAGTAATGAAAGTTCTACTAACTCGAGTGAAGAGGAAAAATCTAAAAAGAAAAAGAAAAATAAGGATAAAAAGAAATTCTCTAGTAGTGACGAAATAAGTGAATTGACTAAATGGTTTAATGAGTTACAGATTAACTTAATGCAACAAGTTAAGAGGTTGACTAAAAAAATTGGATATCAGAATCAAAAACGAATCAATAACTTCCGTGAATATTTCAGAAATAATAATTTTACAATGATAATAATAACAGTAACAATAACAATTATAATAACAACAGTGGTCTACGCAGATGTTATAACTACAATGAGGTTAAACATTTTGCTTATGATTATTTAACCAAGAAGAAACTATACCTTCAAAATCAAAATAGAAGAATGTCAATTATGTTAAATATAACAATGACAGTGATGACAAATGTGAAGTCTATGAAGCTATATGAAATAAAACTAATATCCAAACTACTTCTCTACGTAAACTAGATAGATCAAAGAATCCTGTACCTCCAAAAGCTACACCCATTATCAATGTCAACAATTAACAACCTGAAATTTTGGTCGATTTTGAACAAGACCCTTATGAGGATAAACCTATGTAAAAAGATCTACCTAAAATAAACCTAAAGACTAAAAGCGAAAAGAAATCTAGAATGAAATGACAACTATCAGTTGTCAACCAGTTAACTCTGTATATATTTTACAAGATATACCTTACATGCAGTCTAGTACTAAAATAGGATAACTGTTAAAATATCCTAATCAAAAGAGGAATTTAACGAAAATCTTAAAATGATCTATATAACAAAAGAAAATCAATTATGTAGAAACTGATGAAGTTAAACAAACTACTGTAACTAAATGTTATGTATGAATTAGAAAGAATTCAGTAGTTGCTGTATTTGATTTTAGTATTACTGTTAGTATCATTATTAACAAGCTACGAAAGAAGTTGGGACTTATTATTAATGGTTTATTCAAAATTGTAGTTATTATTGTCAATGGAGCTAGACAACGTGCCTTGGGACAAATTGACTATGTTCCTATAAGTATATAAAACTTACTAGTTCTAATGAAGTTACAAGTTATTGAATCCTCTGAAGAAACTTTATTATTAGGAATTGACTTCTTTGAAAAGATCCAAATACAATGGAACTTTGTCAATAAAACTTTAAGATTGTTCTATAATGGTAACTAAACAATTGTACAAATTACACATACCTATAATGAACTTTTGAATATCGAATTTGAAGAGGAATAAGATGAAGATCAAGTTCAACAAGACCTTGCACTGGTCGAAAATTGATAAATAATATATATATCAGGTACTTGATATATATATAGTACGTCCCTAATATCGGGCATATATTAGGTACTCGATAGGTGTAGAAAATATTTTATATATATATCGGGTATATACGTGTTGCCCAAATCCCAAATCATTTGGGATTTGGGACGCCAAAATCCCAAATTACTAGTATTTGGGATTTGGGATTTGGGATTTCGGCAAAAAATACTAATCATAATTTAGAATTTGGGATTTGGGATTTTGGCATTTGGGATTTCGGCATTTGGATTTTGAATTTGGGTGGCAGGTATAGGTTAGTACAAAAAATTAGAAATCTTAATCCGCTCCGTGACGGAGTGATATATAACCCGGGTTGATGCCAGAACATTATGCTCCGGTTAACAACCCTATATCCATGCATTTAATTTGTTTATTAATATGTAATATAAATTTTTAATCACTGGTTTTCAGCATTTTACTAGTAGATCGTTTTATCACATGACCGTATAATTTTGTAAAGAGAATAAAAAACTAAGTTACACAAGGTAAATTTTTTTACATAAAATGGAAATTTATTGTTAATCTTTTATGTAACAATGAATATCACCAAAGTCACATCTGCTGAAACTGATCAAAACCCTTCTTTCGAAGAAAATAACTCTAATATTCCAACTAACAGTAACCAGATACAAGGTATTGAGAGTACAACGCTTTTTTCCAAGTATTATTAAACATTGAAGTCATTGGAATTGATTTTTAGGGGATGATTTGGCCTTTTACTCGCCTGACGACGATTATAGTGACTCTGAAGAGTCTAAAGCTATAACAATTAAACTTAGCATCCGTACTGTATCTTATCAACTCTGATTCAATGAGTTCCCTTAGAGACTGCCAGACTAACTGTTCACATTAAATTCCAAAATTAAGTTTCCCTCAAGAAAATGTATGAAGAAATCCACGAATTTCCTGACCCCAAATACATGTTCGACCTCAAGACGAAAGGGCTCACTACTCCTGAAAAGTTTGTTACATGGTGGAATGAGAACCATCAAGATTTTCAAATCACAGTTGATTCTATTAAGAAATGGACTTATCGCGAAGATGAGGATCCTTCCCGCTATAATATCCACTGGAGTGAGTATGGAGATTAAGATTAGAGTATCGCGAACAGATACCAGAGTTTAATAAAGCTTTCCTTATACCATTTTTATGAACCAATTTAATCAACGTAATTTTTCATCATTAAATTTCAAATTAATAATGAGCAAACAACTAAATGGGTGCTTTAAATTTTATTGGTATATTGGTTTAAAATTACGATCAGAATGATTTTCATCATGTGTAATATTTAATGGTCGGCCCATACATCAGTTATGCCTTTCGCCTCTCTAATAAGAAAGTTTATATATGCTTGTTTTTCAGATGTTACTCTCTCATCAAAACATTCTATTCAAAAAGGCAATTTTTAAAAAATGTAATATGAAAACGTTCAAAATAAAGAAAAAAAAATCAAACCTTTGAGTGAATTATTTGCACGTTGTCTCTAAAACCTATTCGTCTCCCAATTGCACGTAATTCAGCTCCCACGGCCCTCATATATCGTCTGCCAGTAGATCGATTTTTAACCACCCTCCACACTGAATTTGGTTTGAAAACCACTAACCCGTTATTATATTCGCTGAGAAAATGACCGGTTTTCACCGCTCGTTCCAATTCATTCTGCATAGCTTCAACACTGTAGCCGTGGGCCACAACTTTCCTGCATAGTTGACGGTAGTAGTATCTACTTATTTTTACCTCACAGGTTCCTATAATAGAAAATTACCGGATCAATTATGTGAATCATTTATTTTGGAGTAGAATATGCAGTACATTGATACTGTACTTCCTCTAAAAGTTCACGTTAGCAAATTTTCCTGTATAAGAATCCAGCAATGCCATACGCTATACACCAATACGGTCAAAGTACCTCCAATTAATATTGAAGGCATCACAAAAACCCAACAAAAAATACACCATATCGTCAAAAGGATTAAGGTGATAGGAAAAGATATAATCAGGATAATAGGGAAAATTACAACCACTAAAATAGCTAAAATAGGCGATATGGTTCCAACCCAAACAACAATCAGACATATGGCCAAAATTACAATAATACGGAGACAAAAATTCCACATATGAAGAAAAAATAAATGTTGATTTTAAAAAAAATCTCGAATAAAAGACAAGTAATTTCTATTTTTTTTCTGAAACAATTAAAATGTGAGTATATTTCGTATCAATTGAATGACGCAATATAATATAATTTCGAATATAACAATAAGCCGTGACAAAATGTCACGATCAGGATTTTCATATAAGACGATACACAAAATTAATATAATCTGTCAACTAACAACTTGAGTTTTGTGATCATCAAGTTACCCATAGACCTCATCAAAATCTAATTTGCCACACCCTTCTAAAAGAAATCGATTGAAAACAATAATCAGATAAACAAAATTTATATAAGTGGTCAACTAATGACTTGAGTTTTGTGATCTACCCATCACTCGAATGACTTGAGTTCTGTGATCGACCCATCACTCGAGTAACTTAAGTTTTGTGATCCACATGTCATAGCTAACCAGGAATAACCTAGACTAACCAGAAATAATATAATTATATTATTTCCGGTATTTGTCATTTGTGTTTATGCAGTTTATAAACAGTGTAAAGGGGAACTGAAAACCCAATTTAAGTTAACTTTTCTTTTTTAACTTTTATAATTGATTCATAAATGAATAAGAAAGTTGATTGAAAATCAAATGCTATTTATATTCACTATTTGTAAAACTCATATATATATTCTTTTCTGTCAAAAATGATAATATATTTATTGCTATTGATAAAAAATGAAATGAAACAAATACACAATTATTTTATTGAACAAAATTAGTAAATTTTTATAATACAAAATAAAAAATACATCATGTATCCATTATTATAATCATCATCTTTCATAATTATCTCTATGAAGATGGAACATAATCGCCCCGTGACACGTGTTCGCAATTGTTACGTAGCGCGAAACCCGATATAATGAAGAATAAAGAAAAGAAATAAAAGAAATAAAAGAAATAAAAGAAGGTAATAATAATAAATATAGGAATAAAAATATGATATAATAATAATTGATAAAATTAAATAAATAAAAGTAAAGAAATTAAATTAAAATATAAAAATTTAAAAAAAGGGTATGTATTCGTATTCGATTACTATTACCATTATATTATTAAATTCTTTTTTTTTTCATTTCAGGTCACGAAAATCTTCCCAAAAAGAATATCGTTGGCAAGTGTTTTTGCTTAGTTCTTCCCAGTATTGGATGAAAGCATTTCGTGCCGTGAATTCACAGAGAATTTTATACTACGATAATATAACATTGATCAATACTTTTATCCTTTTTATGAGTTAAAATGATTTTGTGATCAACGGCACAGATTTCGCTTGTGATAATAAAAAACAAACAGTGATAAACTAAACATACTTTAAAAAATGACTGTTAGATTACATAAATGAATGTCTATTTAAGGATGCAGAAACTCAAGATAAAAATAAAATATTTCCGATTATAGGTAAATCCCATTATAATAAACTCTACGCCGTGGAAAATTTTATTTATACTGATAGGAATTTTCTCACGATATTATTTTTTGTTCAAGACCCTAAATGCCGCCCAAATTCAAAAAAAAGGAAATATCAACAGTAGGATTAGCAAAATTTTATTGTCAATATTTTAATGCATAATAGTAACGCACATAATTTCGCAAAATTTAAAATTTACATTTACATCCAAACCTACATCGATGGATACATTCATCCATTGAAGGTGTAATAGTGAAGAGTAATAACTTTAATTAAATCTAGATCGACGGATGCATTCATCCATTGAAGATTTAATGGAATGGTAAAGAGTAATAACTTGGATGATAAATAAATTACTATTTTCGCTACATGTTAATAACTGGTTTATTGTCTCTATATACAGATTATACTGTACATACTGACTCTGAGTAAATTAGTAATGAACTCATTCCGAAATCGATATAAAAGGACCTTAATCGTCTCTTCTTTTTTTTTTCTTCTTTTTTTTTGAAATAAAACAACTTTAATTCTAAAAAAAAATGCAGTTTTTATACCACATTCAATGTTCAGTTTTTGTCTTCGCTTTATTTATTTCCTATAACCCAACGATATGCAAAAGGTACAA